ATACGAACATGTTCTTGCATGAGGCCCAATGAACACATTTATCTAGAGGGGTGTCAGGGCATCTAACGTCCCCCTGTTCTGTTTTATGACTCCTTCAGCTGCAACGTCTCAGGACATCATGTCAAATCAGTCCAGGAGGGTTTTTATTTTATTTTTTTTAATATATATTTTTTTGACGGGAGTGTTGTTAGACAGAGAATCATCTTTRCTTTAATATGGGGCAAACAAATGTTATGTTAGAGTTAATATGGTTTAATTAGAAGAACTCAAACAGTGAATCTCACAGAAAGACTCAGCCTGCGCGCACAGCGAATGCTCCCGTCACAGCGCCCTCTCAGGAGGAGAGAGTTTAGTCACTCACACAAAGTTGGACAGATCTGTTTAATAACAACATTTTGAACACATATTTAATATAAAGTTAGGTTTTATAGACCAAAGTCTCCGGTAGTTCAGGAGCAAAGTGCAGGAGGAGATGTCAGGACTGATCGCTGCAGCAACTCGAGTCGAGCCGGCCCGCTGCTTCAACCAAACCTGCTCTCACTTAAAGTCCCGCCTTGCTCTGCTCTGATTGGATAAAACGGCTCTGGACTTTGTCTGATTTGTAGAAGGCAGTGTCCGTTTAATCCTTATATCAGGGTCCTGCTGTGGCGCATAGAACAACAATCCAGTCACACCAGTGTGGCTGGATTCTTTATTATATATTTATTTATTTATTTTAAGAAATCAGGTTGTGTTTGCGACCAAACTGGTTGCACTCCAGAGCCCTGCTAACTGTTGTTGTGACAGACAATCAGGTACAATCTTAGGTACGCAAGGGAGCTTTATGACATTCCATCTGGTGCGCTTTTTTTCTTTTTTGACCGCACACCTGCGCACGGCTTATGTGCAACTCTGCCTATATGAATATTGCATAGCAAAAATTGTCTGGCCCAGCCCGCACAATGCACTAACACTCGGCTCAGATACAGCAAAGAAAGATGGCCCTATGGTGGCCCTTATGTGGTTTGTCAGAGGTGGCCAATGCATGGGCCACTTGTGGTTTGCCACCTTAAAAACAGTGTCATCAATGCCAGAGCTGGCCCATCAGTGTCAACCTGACACCCAGGGTTCCCACGGGTCCTTGAAATCTTTGAAAGTTTGTGAATTTGAAAAAATTATTTCAAGGCCTTGGAAAGTTTGTGAAAACAGCCAAAAAWTACACTTGTCCTTGAAAGTCCTTGAATGTTTTTTGGGGATTGAAATTCTCTATTCACACGACTGATTTTCATCATCTTTAAAAACATAAATTATGAAATTAAATTAAAAAAACTTACTTTTGTTGCGGTGGATAACTCAGGATTACTGTAAACTGACTCAACAAATTCTATGTTCAGTTTTKCATTGAAYTTACATGATATTAAACCTGTTTATTGGTAACATTCTGTGGTAGCAGTAGGTAATTGCCATTGCGCGTGGTTCTTTAATTTGAGGAAATTGGTACTGGAAAGTCCTTGAAAGGTMCTTGAATTTGATGTTGACCAAGGTGTGGGAACCCTGGACACCAGATCTGGCCCACACCTGTCTGCTATGTGGGTTCCTTTTTATTACATGAAAACTGGAAKGATCATCTCTTTAATCTAAAAGGGGACAGAAAGACCTTGAGACTAAAATTTCCATTTTTCCATAAAACATACAAACTCTGCAAAACTTTACTTTGCGKCTTTGTGTCTAATCTTAAAATCCTCTTGATTTGACCACTAAAGAAACCAAATAAATGGCTGTTCATTAGTATAATTGTTATAAAGCGAGTTTCTTTTCCCAACAGTTTTYCTAAATGCATCATTTGTGTGTCAACAATGTTCTAAAGGATAAAACCAAAAAATAAAATCAGAATCTTGATTATATGATGTGGAACTGGTGGATACTTAAAAGTTATAAACTGGTTTTGTATGCTTTTAAATTGTTTAACCGTGCTGAGAACTTCATGGTCAGTAAACCTTGCTAACGCCGTCACATGTTTGTGTTTCACAGGAGTTAAACAATAACTTAAATGTTGTATTCATTCATTCACTCACTCAGACTTTTCCAGTTGACGTACCTCACTTAGAAACCCTTTTCAACTCGATAATTACTTTATGAAGTTTTCATATAAATCTGCCTGTTGAATTATTGGATAGTTTTCCACGCACAGACACAGGAAATATCATTATAGTGTTGCCTTCAGGCTGCAGATATAATAACACAGACTGTATTATTCTCCAGTTCCACCCTCTTGTCCAAATAAACTCCTGTTAGGAAAAGGTTTCTGTCAGACGTGTTTTCTACAGGAGAGCTTTCAGGGGCTTTTGTGTCAAGTATGTTTTTGAATCAAGGTCTTACAAAGGTAGGACAGTTAAAATGTGATGCAGCCGATAAGCAGAGGGTAAATAAATAAATAAAATAAATAAACAAGTTTGGGATGAAATATAATAAATAAATATATCGTATATAAGAGATTGAAGAATACAAACAAAGAATCAAAATGGTGAGAACATACAGATGGAAAATTTAAATGACTTTTTTATTGGGAAACAAACTGAAGGCGTGTCAGAGGTGAAGCAAAATAAACAGATTATAAAGTGTAAAAAAAACAGGGACTGTATATGCTGAGAAATAAAATGGAACAAACTGAAGACAAATCAGGAAGTTTTTACTAAAAATAACTGGACTTGAGTGATAACACTTCATAAAACCAAAAGACTAAAACAAAGAAATTAAATAAACTAAGTTAATTTAAGTTGTAATTATGGATGATTCTTTAGATGTAAGAGGGACGGGTGTAAAAAAAGTTTATACTTCTACCCACTCCTTTGAACGTGTAAATATAAGTCGCTATTGTTGTTCTTGTTTTTGTTTGCATTTTGTTTTAAATTTATTTTTCTTTTCTATATAACTTTGTTTATTCTTTTAAATCCATTACATTCAATAAAGTCAAAGTTAAAGCCTCAGAATTCCTTAAAAGGGAAGAACCTTGAAACCAATGTTAATGACTGTCTGCTACTAACACATAAAATCTTAGCCAAAATTATGACAACATGACACTTTTTATGTTCGTTCGTGTGGATTAGTTTTAGCAGTCCTCTTCAGTTTAATTGACGACAAAACAATCTGTAGAAGATGCTCGTATATTGAATACTGTTTGTAAGTTTCGTTCAAAATTGTTGTATTTTTCATGAATAATTTTGGTAACAAACGGCTTGAGTCTTTGGTTTTAAAACTTCCTGGGAACAATTTGCATTTWTGGATCAAAACCATTTAATTAACGTTTGATAACTAAGTTTGCGTTAAAGTTTACACAGACAATGAATAATTCATGTCTACATTTATTGTGTGTTTTGGCTCAAACTGGAAGTTTCATTAAGTTTGTCTGGGATGAGTTGATGGTGTTTTTGGATCAATTACMTCAGAAATATTCAACTAAATTGCTCGAGGAGGCACAGTTACYGAAAACCAACAGCTCAGGGGCTGGACATACAGAATTTATTGTCATCATGACATAAATTAACATCGCAAAWTAAAATCTAGTTTTATTTTAAATGAACTCATTGATGAGCCAAACTGAGTTCAGCCGTGGGTCAGAAGTGGCCCCTGGGCCTCCAGTTGAGTAGCCCTGGGTTATGTAATATAAGCTGCCTGTAGGGTTATATTTGATTAGAGATGATTTAAAAAAACAGTCATGATTTGAGTTTGTGTTTATTGCAAGTTATATTAACTAATATTTTCCAGCAGATTAACTGACAGCCTTCTTGACGTGACTCTTATGTATATTTTTCTGTAGCTAAACTTGTGATATACTGTAGCTTTGCTGTAATTCCTGTTTGTCTCTGATGTATTTTCTTAAGGAATTCCTGAATCGGGTTGCTTGAAATAAAAGCTGTTTTCTCAAAAGGTGGAGTCAGGATACAGACGTACTGTGGGTACAGAGAGGAGAGGAATTTGTATTGTTTGCTTGTGAATGTGGATAAATATACGGTCCGCTCTCCTGTGAAGGTTAAAGAGCAGGTCAAACATCTAGGCTGAGAAAATAAGAAGCATATCAGGATGTATAGTTCTCAGATGATAGCTGTGGTTTATTTTTCATACCACAGCCTGATCCTCACTGCTGCAAGGACAAAGGCATAAATGAGATAAGCAGACAGAAATGATGAGTTCCACTTTAACCTTTTATTACACTCACTTTACACATTGGACTTTCATCTACAACTGATCAATTTGACAGACCTTAAGAAACAAAAAAAAATTACTTTAGTCATCAATCTGCCTATTTTATAGCGATTGAGCTAAAAATTTGAGCTGCTGTAACTGAAAGCCGTGCTCAACACAGTAGGATGATCTAAGTTGAAATCTCTGGTACATTTCTTCGAGGAATGCTGGGCCTTTAATGTAATAATGAATCTCTGACTCCAGCTTTAAAGAAAKTCTTAATTCAAGGCGTTTTTTTGGGCGGCTCATTGTTAAAGAATGAAGCTGATAAAAAAGTGCTTCTGTGAAAGTTCAGTGCAGTTTGGGATGAAAAAAATGTGTTTTCATAAAACGCCCTTATTTAATTTGACAGTTTGTTTTTACCTCAGATATTTCTTAAATCCACAGGAGCTCACCAACCATATGTTTTTCCTTAAAGAGGGTGGAGGATAAACAGAGCCGAGGAATGAATAAAATGAGGYGTCAAGTGGAAACGAGGATGAAATGTGATTAGGGCGATCCAAAAAGAGGAAATTAAAGTCGGCCGAAAGGAGAAGACGTGACTGAGGGTTCACTGTGATTTGAGTTTTTAGAGCCACATGTTTTTTTTAATGTTATAAATGAACTTCTTGTGTAATTTTTATAACAATTTACCTTTTCTGTTTCCCTCCAGTTTTCTCTACACCATGGGCACCTTGTTGGTGGCGTTCTCCTCATCAGGTAGAAAAAAACCCAAAAAAAACAACAACTATTTCCTGATTGTTTTCTCTCAACCACAACAAAAACCTGAAATAAAAAAGCATGTGTTAAAAGGATTTATTCTTATTTTTCCTTTATTCCCAACAGCTATGGCCATGCTGCTCTTCCCAGCTCTCTCCTTCTTGGCTGTGGGAGGAATCTTRTTTCTTTTGACAAACATGCAGGTACAGATTTTGACGATTCACATCAATAATCTGATGGCTGTTCTGTGAAACTGGTGAAAACAGTCTGAGGGAACTTTATTCATTTCCTCTGAGTCTTAAATACTTTTTCACATATTCATCTTTGAGATGGTTAGAATATTTAAAACCAAATACCAGTTTATTTTCATGCTGTGGTTAAGATTGCTGTGATAACAACAAATTSCTGAGGGMTTATTTAGTTACACACCTTGTTTTAATACAAGAATCAGACACGTTTGTACATCAGGACTTCCTTTTTATAAAACAGTTTCAACCGATAAGTGAGGTCATGTTCCCTCCTGAGACTGTCATTTGCASGAGGCGTGACTCAGTTTTGGACACATTAAAAAAATACTCTTATGGTGAACAAAGAAGAATGACAAAGGGCTGATAAGAGTCAGGGTCACAGACAGGCGCTGGGACAYGCAGGCTCTGATCACTGACATGGAGTTCCAGATCTGAGGAATAAAACATTTTTAAAAGAATCGTCTTGGTTTTCTGCAAACTTATTCTGGCTTCCAATTATTGGTCATGTTTTTCTTACAAGTYGATGCTGAATCCTCAGCCCTGTTCTCAGGATGGTACAGCCACTGCTAAAGGTTCAACATGAAGTCCCCACTAAAAATATTTACAAACCACTTCCAAACTCTCACAGTAGGTCTTACTCTGTAAGAAAAAGCTCTAAGAAATGCTGTTGTGAAATAATTTTTACACCCACTCCTTGGAGTTGAGATTATTTATATCCTGGATTTCAGTTTTTTTGAGTATAAAAATGTTTCCTGTTTGCCCTCAGCGCAGCTTCACTTTTGTCTCATTGAGCTCATGATCTTGTGCAGAAAGAACAGCTGCCTCAGGAAAACACTGTTTAATGAAT